TCATATGATGACCCGCCACTGCAGCTTTTGGTCATCTGACTGAGGTCTTCCGCTGGCATACCAGTCCACCCTTTTAAAAATTAATGGTTATTATACTAATTCTTTGTTGTGACTAGGTTCTGGTTGACGTGTGTTTGTGTCAACAACCGGAGCTGTTGAATAACGTGTTTCACCAACCTGTGGCTTTACCAGTTCACCACATAGGATTTTTGAAGGTGCTGAAACTGGACACAGTAGAAGAGAGGGTAATCAGTCCCTCAGCCTAGATGGTGTTTGCCATCTTCATCTAGGCTGAGGGACTGATTACCTCGTCTTCTCTCTCCAGGTTCAACACTTTTAAATAAGCTCTGTGTTGAACATATAAAGTTACTGGTTGACGAATCGTTTTCATAATAAAGATCCCCGAATGTTGCACGCGTATCTGATTCATCAGTTGTGTACCATTTATGTTATGTCGACAGGGACGTTAACGGTGGCGGCTTATACCACACTAAGTTCTTCTTAGCCTTCAACGGTACTGAGTACGACAACGCTACCTTCCCTAAGTGTTAGTACTGTTACTATTATTACTAGCTTGATCATTACTGTTATGAGCAGTAATACCAGTATTTTGATTAGTAGTAGTAGTAGTAGTAGTAGAAGTAGCAGTATCAGTTATTGTAAAAAAAACAATAAAGTAATAGAGGTCAGACACCACCTGGGAAATGGGTGGTAATTATGTTTCATGCAAGGAAGAGAAGGGTAGTTCCATTTCTGTGGCTCGATATTCCTGCAGCAGCATCAGGCAGCCCTTACGTACCCCTTGAAGAGCCAAAATTTTAGCACTTTCCTAATTGTACTTGTTTATGTCGAGTTATCCCAGGGATTGGATCCCAGCATTTGTTTAGTAAGCAAATTGCAGTAGTATTGAATACTATTATTGTTATTAATAATAATGAGAGTGTTACACAAATTTTGTTTAATTAGATAAGGTCGAGTGATTACAACATATTTATAATACATATTGTGTGTGTTGGTGGGTAGATGTTCATTATGGAGCCAACGTGACGATCCAGAGCAGCCGACCCATCTGTGGCTACCTCGAGTCTTGGTACGACCTCTTTCCGTCAGAACTCACTGCCCCCTGTCAGCAGGTCACCACCTCAACCATCAGGGATAACGAAACAGTCATGTGGTTAGTCTCTCTCTCTCTCTCACTGTTTTACAAGGTTAGGTTTACACTCGAGGTTTAAGGAAACACCGCCAACGTTTCCACCTGGCCGGGAATCGAACCACGGACAGTCGGTATGTGAGCCCATCGCGCTACCAACCAAGCTACGGGACTTCTTCAGCCGCTAAAAGACTCCTACGGGTTCAGATGTTATTCCTGATTCAGACATTTCTGAACAGCATCAATCTTGAAATATGCTGGTGATAGTAAGAACATCAGGGTAAATGGTAATGTGATTTGGATCAACAGAGATGCTGTTGACGTCAGCTTTAACATAATTAGTCTAAGCTAGAGGTGTTTTTTAACAGTATATTTTAGTGGGTAGCGGTTGGGAACTTCCTGCATTTTCTGGAGGGTAATTCAAATGTTATGGCTCTTTATTTTACATGGAGTTCCTAAATAGGTTGAGTTGTATGCGTTGTATATCAGAGATACTTATTTCTTGTACTGTGTCTGGGTGTTGTGTTGCAGTTCTCCAGGAATAGACAGAGCACTAGGATGAAGTTCGTTCTAAATGTCGTGTATAAATAAAACACACTAGTAGGTGTGACTGTTGAGTAAAGTACCACTTGAATAGTAGGGGGGGGGGAGGTGTCTGGAACTGAGTCGGTAATTATTCTAACAACTTGAGTAACGATGGGTTGTCGGTGATTTATTAGTTAGTTTAACATTTTTATTATGCACCCTGGCTATCTTCAAGAAGGCGCTGGACAAGCACCTATTATCAGTACCTGACCAGCCGGGCTGTGATTCGTACTTCAGTTTGCGTGCGGCCAGCAGTAACAGCCTAGTTGATCAGACCCTGATCCACCACGAGGCCTGGTGTCAGATCGGGCCGCGGGGACATTGACCCCCAAAACCCTTCCAGGTATACTCCCAGACCCATCCTGTGAGCGGTAATCAAAGGATTACAGAGGTACATAATAGGTGATTTGCTGTTGTAGATCACCAAGCACAGGTTACATAAAGTAAGGATAGATTAGAAAGTAGTAGAGGGTGAATAACGTTGGTTTACCTGGAGAGGGTTTCGGAGGGTCAACGCCCCCGCGGCCCGGTCTGAGACCAGTGTGTTTTTGATAGAACACCCATAGTTTTGTATTTTTTTTCAGAAATGTGTGGGTGTGAGTGCTCACTTGTTGCAGGGCCACAGTTCTGTGACTTCTGCTTCATTTAAGTACAGATACTGTACAGTAACAACAGGAAAACATGAATTATACTTATATTGGACGAAATTTTCTCGCCTCAGCATGGTTATAATAAACCTCTTAGGATTATTAACATGCATTGTGACATAAATCTTTTTATCGACTATTTGTATTATTTTATTTTAATAAAATGTAAAACAAATGGTACAAAAATCAGTGTTGTGTTGCAGGACTATCAAAAAGGTAGATATTGATGCTGGGTCAGTGGTGGATGGTAAGGACCCGCTGCAGGAGGCGCTGCTGGTGCGTAATGGAGACTATGTGATGCTGACCCACGCTGCTACTGGTCGCTCTCTGCGCTCTCACGGTCACCGAGCACCCATCACCAAGCGTCACTACCAAGTCTGCGGCTACGGAGATGTAACATTCATTTGTTCTTTTTCTAATTGATCGGAAGGAGAAATACCGACGGATAGTTAGTTTAATATGTTTATTATGCACCCCATACCCATCCTGTGGGCGGTAGTCAAAAGATTACAGAGGTACATAATTGGTCCAGGGACTGGACTCTAAAGTTTTGATAGCTGAGCAAGTTAGAGGTAATGAACTCACAATTACAAAGGTAATGAACTCACAATTTACAAATGTAATGAACTCCAGGTAGGTCTGGTCACAATCATGACAAGTTACAAAGGTATTTACAGATTACAGAGGTACGTAAAGGGTCCAGGGACTGGGCCCCCAAAGTTTTGATAGCTGAACTAGGTACAAAGGTAATGAACTCACAAGTTACAAAGGTAATGAATACTGTAAGAATGGTTACTTACGTTTATACATGGCTACAATCATGAACAAATTATAGAGTAATGAGTAATTCACACTTCCACACCCGGTCACAACTGTAATGAGTTATTGGTGCAAATATTGATTGTTGAGTCACACACACACACACACACACACACACACACACACACACACACAACACACAAACACACAAACCCTCGCACACATACACATACACACTCATACACACACTCATACACACACAAACACACACTCATACACACAAACACACACTCATACACAACACACACACACACACACACACACACACACACACACACACACGCACACACACACACACACACACACACACATACACACACACACACACACACACACACACACACACACACACACACACACACACACACACACACAAACACACAAACCCTCGCACACATACACATACACACTCATACACACACTCATACACACACAAACACACACTCATACACACAAACACACACTCATACACAAACACACACACACACAAACACACACACACACACACACGCACACACACACACACACACACACATACACACACACACACACACACACACACACACACACACACACACACACACACACACACACACACACACACACACACACAGGAGCTTGGACTCGACCCCTGCAACCTCAACTAGGTGAGTACACATACACACACAAACACACACACACACACACACACACACACACACACACACACACACACACACACACACACACACACACGCGCGCGCGCGCGCGCGCGCGTGGTAATGCTTTATTTACAGCTAACAAAGTCAGGGTATTTCTCCAGAATGGTCTGTAATATACCACTGTGGATAAAATACTTTGCCATTTCTTGAACATTTCTGAGTGAGTTGTCTCTAAATTCATTAATTTTATCGCACTCCAGTACATAATGACGCAGGGTGTGACAATAGTCCATCTGGCAAAGTTTACATTTCGTTTGGTCTACATCTGGTGGTGATGATTTAACCTGCCAAAAATACTTGTAACTCAGTCGGAGCCGGGCAGTAGTGGCATCCAAGAGTCTGCTTATTTTGCTGGATGCACAATAGACATGTGGCTCCTCCTGCATGATAGAATGTTAATAGATGGACTGACTGGTGTCAATCTCCCTGAGTCTTAAGTCAATAAAATTCAGTTGAAGTTCTTTTCGTATTATTGTTCTCAAACTACTACCTGACAAGCCAAGATTGCAATCTACTCCCTCTTTGAAAGCATACAGCTTAGCCAATTTATCAGTTCTATCATGCATTCGATGACCAATGTGAGATGGAATCCACAGCATGTGCACTCTGACTCCACTGTCCACAATCTTGCCATACCTATGTCTGGCTTCTGACACAAGCATGCCACATTTTATGCTTAATGAGTTGAGAGCATTATGGATGACAGAGAATCAGTTACAATTAAACTGTCAATCTTAGATACATAGATGCGTTTCAATGCAAGGAGTATGGCAAACAGTTCTGTCTGAAGGGTAGAGGCCCAATTATTGATGCGTGCTCCAATTTCTTTAAGAGAGCCATCACTCTGTACGACAACAGCAGCACTACCAGTTGCACCAGTGGATTGGTGAACAGAACCATCAACGTAAATAATTTGCGAGAGTGTGTGCTGTGTGACTAAGTTATCAATACAGCTTAAGGCATCATGTTTGGCTTCAAGGCGAAGTTTTGGTTGTCATTTAAGAAGTAGTTTGGGGGGAAATGGAGGAATGGTAATTTGGAATGGGGTAATATCCCATGGAGCGGAGAAGTGCCGCTGTTGCCTTACTTGATATAGATCATGTATCTGATTCATGCGGAGGTCGGTTCCAGTTTTTTCGATTCATCTGGAGGAGTGTTTGCCAGTGCTGAGGAAAGTTTGGAGGGCTTCTGTGCAGGGGTTTGAATGGGCTTGCCTGAGCATATTAACCCCAATTAGGATATTTCTTTCAGTAACACGATCTCTGATGCTTGGAATATCAAGTTCTTTTCGTTCAAAGTTACTTACAGCAAAGCAAGAATGATATGGGTTTTTCCTTCTGCACTTTATCATACACACATACACACAAAAGAGGCGGGGCCAGGAGCTATGTATCGACCCCTGCAACCACAAATAGGTGAGCACACACCACACAGAGGCAACAACGAGTCATGGTACGTGATGAGGTATCACAGTGGGCACCTGTGACGAGCGGGGTCCCACAGGGGTCGGTCCTAGTACCAGTGCTATTTCTGGTATATGTGAACGACATGATGGAAGGGTTAGACTCAGAAGTGTCCCTGTTTGCAGATGATGTGAAGTTAATGAGGGGAATTAAATCAGATGAGGATCAGGCAGGACTCCAAAGAGACCTGGACAGGCTGGACACCTGGTCCAGCAACTGGCTTCTCGAATTTAACCCCGCCAAATGCAAAGTCATGAAGATCGGGGAAGGGCAAAGAAGACCGCAGACGGAGTATAGGCTAGGTGGCCAAACACTGCAAACCTCGTTCATGGAGAAAGATCTAGGGGTGAGTATAATACCGAGCACGTCTCCGGAAGCACACATCTACCAGATAACTGCTACATCATATGGGCGCCTGGCAAACCTGAGAATAGCGTTCCGATACCTTAGTAAGGAATCGTTCAAGACACTGTACACCGTGTACGTCAGGCCCATATTGGAGTATGCAACACCAGTTTGGAACCCACACTTGATCAAGCACGTCAAGAAATTAGAGAAAGTGCGACAAGGTTAGTTCCAGAGCTAAGGGGAATGTCCTACGAAGAAAGATTAAGAGAATAAGAGAAATCGGCCTGACGACACTGGAGGACAGAAGGGTTAGGGGGAGACATGATAACAACATACAAAATACTGCGTGGAATAGACAAGGTGGACAGAGACAGGACGTTCCAGAGAGGGGACACAGAAACAAGGGGTCATACTTGGAAGTTGAAGACCCAGACGAGTCAAATGGATGTTAGGAAGTATTTCTTCAGTCATAGAGCAGTCAGGAATTGGAATAGCCTAGCAAGTGAGGTAATGGAGGCAGGAACCATGCATAGTTTTAAGATGAGCTATGATAAAGTTCATGGAGCAGGAAGAGAGAGGACCTAGTAGCACTCAGTGAAGAGGCGGGGCCAGGAGCTGAGTCTCAACCCCTGCAACCACAATTAGGCGAGTACAAAAACGCACACACACATAAACCTTGACCCATTGTGTACCTCTGTAATCTGTAAATACCTTTGTAACTTGTCATGATTGTGACTAGACCTACCTGGAGTTCATTACCTTTGTAATTTGTGAGTTCATTACCTTTGTAAATTGTGAATTCATTACCTCTGTAACTTGCTCAGCTATCAAAACTTTGAGGCCCAGTCCCTGGACCCATTATGTACCTCTGTAATCTTTTGACTACCGCCCACAGGATGTGTATGGGGTGCATAATAAACATATTAAACTAACACACACACACACACACACACACACACACACAGTTTGGGAAGCGATGTAGTGGAGGCAGGATCCATACATAGCTTTAAGCAGAGGTATGATAAAGCTCACGGCTCAGGGAGGGTGACCTAGTAGCGACCAGTGAAGAGGCGGGGCCAGGAGCTTGGACTCGACCCCTTCAACCTCAACTAGGTGAGTACACACACACACGCCGAAGTGTATGCGTGTGCTGACAGTTGTAATGTAGTACAAATGTGAGTGAAAATGGACAAGCGTGGGTGACAGTTGCAGTGTAGTACATGTGTAGCGTGGTACAAGTGACAGGTGTGGGTGACAGGTGTAGTGATACAGGTGTGGGTGACAGATGTAGTGATACAGGTGTGGGTGACAGTTGCAGTGTAGTACATGTGTAGCGTGGTACAAGTGACAGGTGTGGGTGACAGGTGTAGTGATACAGGTGTGGGTGACAGGTGTAGTGATACAGGTGTGGGTGACAGTTGCAGTGTAGTACATGTGTAGCGTGGTACAAGTGACAGGTGTGGGTGACAGGTGTAGTGATACAGGTGTGGGTGACAGGTGTAGTGATACAGGTGTGGGTGACAGTTGCAGTGTAGTACATGTGTAGCGTGGTACAAGTGACAGGTGTGGGTGACAGGTGTAGTGATACAGGTGTGGGTGACAGTTGCAGTGTAGTACATGTGTAGCGTGGTACAAGTACAAGTGACAGGTGTGGGTGACAGATGTAGTGATACAGGTGTGGGTGACAGTTGCAGTGTAGTACATGTGTAGCGTGGTACAAGTACAAGTGACAGGTGTAGTGATACAGGTGTGAGTGACAGTTGCAGTGTAGTACATGTGTAGCGTGGTACAAGTACAAGTGACAGGTGTGGGTGACAGATGTAGTGATACAGGTGTGGGTGACAGTTGCAGTGTAGTACATGTGTAGCGTGGTACAAGTGACAGGTGTGGGTGACAGATGTAGTGATACAGGTGTGGGTGACAGTTGCAGTGTAGTACATGTGTAGCGTGGTACAAGTACAAGTGACAGGTGTGGGTGACAGGTGTAGTGATACAGGTGTGGGTGACAGTTGCAGTGTAGTACATGTGTAGCGTGGTACAAGTGACAGGTGTGGGTGACAGG